CTGACTGTTCCTGATCGCTTTCCTTTCCTCTAAAAGTTTCATATTAGATTCCCTGAAGACCTGCTCCATAATTTTTCCAGGGACTGAGGTGAGGCTGACTGTCCCACGCGGGACAACCGGTTCTAAAAGGGCTTCTAAATTTAACAACCGGTTCCCGGGAACCAGTGTGAACCGGCTCTAGCTCACTATTGGATGTGGCCCAGCTGCGGCTGCTTCCCCAATCAGCCTTGTAGCTGCTTTCTCCTGCAACAGCCCTCTCCCAGGGCTGTCTTAAACCCCTCAGGGCAGGAGCACGTGACCACCCCGCTACAACCACCATTCTCTAACAGCCCTTAACATCTTTGAAGACTTATCAGGTCCTCTCTCAATCTTCTTTTCTCAAAACTAAACATGCCCATTTCTTTCAACCTTTCTTCACAATTCATGTTTGAGGATAATGAGGTAGCCTTATGGATGTTTCTTCTCCAGCACCATTCTGAATGGATATGAGTTGGGGTGAGGAGGATCCTCCTAGAGCATTCTGAAGGATGATTAAAGAGGTAGGAGGGGAACCAGAGGATGACAAGAGAAGACAAGGTTTCAAGAGGAGGAGCCTGGTCAGTGGTGTCAAATGCAGGTGACAGGTCAAGGAGGGTGAGGCTGGAGTGCTGGTTCTGAGCTTTGCCTAGGGAGAGCTGTGACCCTAAAAGCATCACAGTGCTATCTGGCACACTGTTGGTGTGATATTTTCCCAAGGGCATCATGTAATGTATCCCTGAAAAAAAACCCTGTAACTGATGTTCTTCAAGATGTGTTGCTCATGCCCATTCAACTTAGGTGTGTGTGCTCACCCCACATGCATCGGTGCTGGAAGTTTTTCCCTCAGTGGTAGGGAGGGAATTGGCTCCGGCACCCCCTGGAGTGGTGTGCACATGGTGTGTGTATATAGGGCACCGCCGGCTCCCCCCACCCTCAGTTCCTTCTTGCCTTCCTTCCCCACGGTTGGAGTTTCCGGTGGGGTGTGGAATGGACATGAGCAACACATCTCAAAAAACACCATTTACGGAAAGGTAACTGTCTTTTCTTCTTCGAGTGCTTGCTCACGTCCATTCAACTTAGGTGACTCCCAGCAGTACCCCTGGAGGCGGGTAAGGAGTTCACGGACGTGTAGATTGCAATACAGCTCTGCCGAACCCAGTGTCGTCCTTGGCCTGCTGAGTGATGGTGTAGTGGGCCATGAACGTGTGCACCGAGGACCACGTCACAGCTCCACAGATGTCCTGGATCGGGAAGTGTGCCAGGAAGGCTGCTGAAGATACCTGTGCTCTGGTCCAGTGGGCTCTGACGATTGGCGGCAGAGGGACTCCCACTAACTAGTAGCAGGTCTGAATGCAAGAGGTGATCCAATTAGAAATCATCTGTGTGGACACCCGGAGGCCCTTCATCCTAACAGCTGTAGAGATGAAAAGCTGAGCAGACTTACGGAAAGGCTGTGTCCTATCTAGGTAGAAAGCCAGGGCCCTTCTTTCACCCAAAGCGTGAAGGTGCCTCTCTTCACTAGTCTCATGGAGCTCATGGCAGAAGACCAGAAGTCCTGGCTCATGTGGAAACTAGATACCACCTTGGGAAGGTAGGCCGGGTGGGCCCGGAGCTGAACCTTGTCCTTACAGAAGACGATGTATGGTGGTTCTGAGGTCAGGGCTCGCGGCTCGGAGACTCGCCTCACCGATGTCACCGCCACCAGAAAAGCTCCCTTCCATGATAGGTGAGACAGGGAGCACGAGGTCAAAGGCTCAAAGGGCGGACCTGTGAGCCTGGACAGAACCAAGTTGAGATCCCACTGAGGGGCCGGGGACCAAACTTGAGGAAAAAGTCTCTCAAGACCGCTGAGGAACCTAACCGTTATATCATGGGAGAACACCGTCTGCCACTGGAGTGGCGGATGAAAGGCGGAAATGGCTGCCACAAGTACCTTGATAGAGGAGTGCGCCAGGCCCTGGTTCCTCAAATG